AAATGAGTTTTATTCTATGTGTTTCTGTCCACTTTGGAATGAGGAGTATAGCGATGATACTGAAGGGTAAAATACAGTGTTTTTGTCTGCTGGAGTCTGGTGGAGAGTGATAGTAGATAAAAATTAACCACGAATAGTTGCTGTTTGTTTAAATACCGGTCATACAAAAAAATAACTAAAAAAGTTTGTCTCAAACTATATGACTAGGGTAATCAGGAGTAGCCTCAATGGGATTTTCGTTTTCTATTAAATTGGCTTATGAATCACAGGGAGGTTGTGGTATGGCACTCGACAGATGGGTAGAACAAAAACCACTGAGTCTGTCAGTGGGCAGAAGCCCACTAGCTGTGCTTTTATTGGGTTGTCTGATTGGCTGCGTACCAACACTAGGACTTAGTCTTTACCTGGCTTGTAATGCGACGGGCCGCCAAGCAGCTAGGGTTTTGATGAATGATTCCAGGTCCTCCCTGGCACCTGGCCCCAGGAAACGCAGGAAGATTGAGGCCGGGAGGCACTCCCGCAAGAATGTAAGATTAGCTTACATGCGCAGCCCTTTTTTCATAAGAAATATTTTCTCAGAGATAATATCAACTTGGCTTCCACCATTGCATTAGGATATTTATTTCCACCAAGCGGCAAGAACGCCCCGAGAACAAGTGGAATAGGCTGGAGCAGATATAGTATGCGCAAAAAGGACATAGCAAAACAAGAAGATTTCGTTTGGGTTAAACTTCATGCGCTTAAAAGTTTGGTGCGGAATTATTATATTTTTGAGACTTTAACATACTGTTGTACGGAAAAGGCTTGACTTATTTCAAGTATAACCTACTCTTTGATCTGAGATGGAGGTGGGAAAGAAATGGAGGTACATACCAGATTAGCAAGCAATGCATAACAGTTCCAAGATTGGAAAAGTGGTATGGAGACAGACCTGCTTGGGGGACAGATGAGCATTAGTCTAGAAATTCAAGGTCATATATAGCGGCATTCCTCTTTTTAAATCCTGAAGTAACCTGCTTTTTCCAGCAATAAGCTACAGCAAGCGAGTTCTGGATACGAGTTTGATTGTGGTTTCTGAAACTATCATGAGCTTGTAAGATATAGTATACACAATTTTGAGATCTTTGATAGTTCCAAAAAAAATACTCCCAAAAATAGCGGAAGTGGTTCTTTTAAAATTCAAGTCAAAGTTGACATTTTTGGAAAGTACACTTTCAGTTCCTTGGCCCCTCCCCTGTGAGAAAGAGTCCCGACAGCTTACCCATTCCCCTTCTTTGAAGGCACAGCCAGAACCTTTAGCTTAGCTTAAGGACACAAGTCAGCCTAGCTTTGTAGTGTAAGCTGCAGGGGAATACAGAACAGTGAATCAGAACATATTGTAAGTGGAGTTATTGTCAAATGAGTCAGTTGTCATGTCGCAAGCTACGCGGCCAGACGCGAAAGCAAATTAGCAAACGACGTTTCAGAAAGTGCTGTTCAGATAATTTGGAATCTTTTTAAACATACACTTCTAAGAAAACTTCAATAGAACCACCACACTACACACACAACAACACCACACACACCCCACACCACAACACAAGTTACTCATGAGCCCAGCGGGATGCTGAGCACCTCACTCGTTCGTAGACGCAATGTCAAACCAGAACACTCATAGATCCTACAGGAAGAAGATGTTGAGGCAAATTGTGGCCACCAATCTCCCTCATTCATTTGAAAACTGTGTTGTCCGCATCACGCAGACCTGTGGATATCACCAGTTATGCTGGCTCACTTTCCACACGCATGTTTTCCCTCTTGTAGAAATCGAACCAAAGACATAGACATTTCAAAAGCTGCACATCTGCGGGTCCACCCATGAGCAGTCACACCAAACGTTCTGTGGATCTCTCTGCCCCACGCCGCTGTCCGGCAGCCCAAGAAGTAGTGCCCCTGTAGATGCCTGGCAGCTTCGAGGCTGAGTTCTCCACGGACTCTTCTTCAGGTCGTTCAGTGATGTGGGCTCGCGCAGATTTGCCGTCCCGCCAACCAACCAGGGAAAAACCACGGCGGTTGAAAGTTGACGATATGAAAGACGCACAGGTGTGGACCTGGTTTGCAGGGGGAACCAATACGGCAGACCCGACCAATTGTCAGGTACGAGCATAATATAGTGAAAAGACAGGGCTGAGGAGAAACTCTTGTGACTAAGCTGGAGTGAGCTGTGTATTAAACACCGGAAATCAGGTGCTCTGGGGCTCCACGAAACAGATGGTCTCAAACATAAAGTGGCATGAGAGCTCCTCTCCAGCGAGGGTTTGTGTAACTAGGAGGGTCGAGGGAATGGGCACAACAGGCAAAGAGGGGATTATGAGGAAATCGGCAAAGGGAGGGCTGAGGGGCAAGGGATGTTTCCATTTTTTACCCATTGTAGGAAAGATACATCGCCGCACAAGAAAACTGAGAAGCTAAACCGTCTCTGTTAGTGTTTCCACTCCTCCAGCAATCACCAACTCTGGTTTGGTTGTAATAAATAAAACCAACAGAGCAGACTGGCTACTGAAACAAACTACAGAGAAGCTGAGATAAGATACAACACAGAGGGAGTGAGACACCATGACTCCACTTTATATTTATATAGAGAATAGTTGTTTGCTGATATATTAAGGTTATAAATCTCATATATGTAACCTCTAAGTACATATTTTATGTCTGTGTTGTTCTGTATGTCTGTTCTGAGCTGTCCTTGACCCTGTTCACTGTAAACAATGCTCAGCACCTCTGTAATGCATCAGAACATAAAACCGGAATGAAAAACCGTTGAAACTCACCTTCTCCTTTTAAAAGAATCTGTGTTATCTCAGAGAAAATTGGAAGCAATAATAAAGCTATGAGCTTTAAATGCATTGATGAAGTGTACAAACAGGCAGTGCAGTGTATCTGAAGATTTGTCTGCTAGTGCATTTACTGTCTGACCTGTTTCCCGTCGGCTACTAAAGAGCCAATGACCCACTTTATGTTAGCCCGGGAGCCCTCGGGCCTGCTGTTTGCATGCATGCATGCGCACTGTGTGCATGCACTCTACCAGTTTGATTTCATGTGTGCAAACTGTGCTCATGTATACATGTTGCATGTGAGCTCTCTTGCACGTTCGGTAGCAGCAGCATCACCTGTGTGTGTGTCAGTGTGTCAGTAATGGGACCTGTTGCTGGATGCGTTCACTGCAGGAGTCCTGAACTGTAACTCCAGAATGATGTACAGAGAAATAAATCAGCTCTGCAGGCAGATATCTGCACGTGAGCGAACTGACGGCCAGTTCAGGCCAGTTTGTTGCTGCTTTCAGAGCCAGAAGTTAAAAGTGGAGGTGTTGCTGGGTGCAGGCGGGGGAGGAGGGTTGGGGGAGAGTGGTGGATATTACACTGGAGGGGGTTGCAGGGGAGACAGATACAGCAGGTGCTCATATCCCTGCCAGCTATTTATAGTCCTACAGAGCTCCCTGATATACAGGTCAGCACGTGCAACTTGAACTTGAGTTCTCTCTGAACAGAACTCCATATTAAAAATATAGAATAAGAAAACAATTACATGTATTTTGCTATATTGGAACAAGTTTGACTGAATAATCCTAATACGAGACTTAATATCCTGCTGAGACAATCAATAAACAATAAAATATTTAATCTTTAATGAATCTTTTTTCCAGAACATCGAGTTGAAGGTCGAGGTGGAAAGTCTGAAAAATGAACTTGAGGAGAAGCAACAACTTCTGGACAAAGCTCTGTGAGTATTTGACTTCCTGCATCGATAACCGCCGGCCCTTCAACCTCCACATGTATCCAACAAATCACTCATCTCCAGAACATATATTCAGAAGTGGTTTCAAATATTCGGCCGCTTGTGCTGCACAGATTTATTGAAATGCCTTCGGGGAAACCAGACAGAGAACTACAAAAACACTCTTTTCATCGCTAGTTTGATTATTTCCCATGAGTCCATCAGTACTTCAGAGCCCGGGCGCCCTCGGGACCCGGCGGCCTGTAGACTCACCTAGCTATCACAACACGGACTAAGCTCCGAGGAATGCCAGTGTATGTACTGAAACGCTTTGAGGAGGATGAAGTGGCTCTGTGTTCTGGGTCGGAGGACGAAGAGGGGATGAGGGTGAGGAGGTGAAGAGGGGGTGAGGACTGTGGGTTTGTTTTGAAGGGGGAGGGCGTAGAGAGTATGGGAGTAGGGAGAGTGAAGGGCAGAGGTGTCTTGTGGTTTGTTGCGTTGCTGAGTCGGGAACTATTTGAGCTGCAGCACCTGTCAGTGAGGCAGCTGTCAGATTCTTTAACAGGATGAGAGCGAGACTGACGGCACAATATGAGCACTAACCGTGTTTCTGAATGTTTAACAAAAATATTTTTCATGTTCGGTTATTCCAACAATGTTTCAGCATTGACGAATGAGAGTTTAGTTAAAAGTTCAATTCACAAAAACAACAAAAACAAGTGGCAAACCTCAGTAGTGCCAAAAGCTTCTGCAGTGGGTTCACTTTTCAGACTCGGAGGTTGCTGCTTGATTTAGGAAGGAAGAACGTTGTTGCTCTTTTTATTGAGATATATGAATGTCACACTGCTTCTCACATTAACACTGCAGAACCATCCAAAAGGACACTGGGTTGTCCATTCAACACTTTTTTACGTTCATTTTGGCAACAGACCCTCAAGCTTCCCTCCAAAATATAAGCAGTCCATTTTGCTTCTTACAGATTACTGTATGACTTAGGGATGATAAGATTCACTGATTCGCACCTGTGCACTGGCATAAGGATTTAGGGATTCTAGGTATGAATAGGTCATCAAGAAACAAAAAAAGTTTGTGTGAAGAATTGTTGAGAAAGAGTTTTACAGTCTGAGAGCCTGAGGGAAGAAGCTGATTTCCTCCGATTAAAATGTGTGCATTGGATAAAGTTGGGCATGAACTTGCAATGCATCTTTTCTAATATTTTGCATTTGTAAAAAAAACTAATGACAACAACAACAACAACAACGGGGTGAATCGTACCGCATTGGGTGCTCCTTATGTATCTTTAATGTATCAGATCATTGATAATGCATCAGTACGCACTGCATCAGCCTCCGTGACGGAGATGCACATCCCTAATGAGTATTATAGTATAGTATATATAATTTTTAAAAGTAATTGACATAGCATGTGTGTGTTTTTCTTGAATTTAGGACCAACACCTAAAAGGTTTTGTGCCGTTATTTCGTTGTGCTGAGTAAAAGATTTTGCACATGTAAAAATTTGTCCATCAGCATTGTTTGACTGATGAGTTCCCTCATAGTTCAACGAAGGAAAAACACCATTAGCTCAGTTACACGGTGTTGTCGTGCATTATAGGCGGTAATTAGTTCAATCAGTCAATTTAGCGCTTTGTCAAAATAATGAAAAGGAGGAAGAATTCCAGCGTTTGAGGAGAGTAAATGTTAGAGTGGAGTTTGGGGTCGGTGCTCTCCGTGCACTGCTGTTTCATAAATAAACTCTCTGGCCACAGTTTATCATTAGAGCTATTAACAGAGCCTGACTGACAGATGTGAGGAGGAAAAGCTGAGTGTGACCTTCTGGCTGTTGGAGCTGCTGAGTGGTGGAGCAGTGACAGACCGGCTTCACCATAAAAACCTCAACTCGTCCCTCAGAGGGGTCAGAGACATTTCCCCTGGAGGCAAAGTTCACTCGGCCTAAGTCTTTACCTCTGTTTGTTAGCAGGAAATCTCAAAATCCTGCAAAGAGATTTCTATTAAATATGGTGGAATATAACCGAAGAAACAAGGATTCAGATCCAATAGAGTTTCTCACAGTGTTTAAAAGTGAAGGGACACACCTGAAATACAGACCACCACCGCTAAACTCGTACAGAATTCAGCGTCTCTTTCACAAAGCAGATGTCACATTTTTAATGAGTGCAGTTATTGTTTAGTCTGTAATCTGCTAATCAAATGCTTTACAATTTGTTTGCGTATTTTATAATCAATTCATGTCATTTAGAAATATCAAAATTCTCTAATTTCAGTTTCTCAAATGTGAATATTGTCTGGTTTCTTTAGTCCTCTATGACAGTAAACTGAATATCTTTGGGACAAAACAAGACATTTGAGGCCATCATATTGTGATCAACATTTTTCATCGTATGCATTTTATGCCTCTATGTGACAGAAAGAAACAAGACCTTTAGAGAGAAGATTGGCTATCTCTGTATAGTTATTCTTAATGCCTGCCACCATTAAGAATCAATCCTATTCAGTCGGATTCCCCTTGAAATCAATGAAACCACTTTTGTCCACAGGGGGCGCCAGAATCAACACAAAATCATCAGTTTATTGCAGCTGCTTTGAGTCCAAGTACTTGAATAAATGTACTGTATTCTGCATTATACCAACGCGTGTTATAGACGTGTAACATTTAATGTTCGACTGCGACAGAGTGACTTGGTGAGGTAGCCAAGGCAAATTTAAGAATAACAACCTATAAAGCTCATATTGCTCCTGATCACTTGCACATGAAACCAACCAGAGAAGGATCAGATTTAGTGGAATAAGTGCCAAACGTTGACAGACATGAAGCCTGTGAGTCCTTTGGGAACGACTCCTGTTAATGACACCCTGATCTAAGTGACCAGACATGAATAAATAATAGCTGTTTGTTGTCTGCGAGGGAAAAGAAGCCAATGAAATAAACCCATCTGCCTCTGAAGTCAGCTTCTTTATTGCATTCATTTATTATTTATGCACTTTAGGGCTTCTTCAACTAAGTGGACATCTTCAAAAGATTTCAAAGCATTTATTCTATCATAGACAACCCCTGAATATTCAGTACAGTTTGGTTGCTTTAAATAACAATTGTTTGTTAATGTAATAAGGTCCAGACAAACCCTCAGAATATGTTATATTAGATGTTACATCCCTTAAGAAGTCATTTAATTTTGCAGCTTGCCTTAAATAAAGTAATTTTTGTCTGGAACTGCAACCCCATAGGTCAACAGCAGAGAGCCTGTCCAATCAGAATGAAGCAGAGCTGCAGCGCCACCTGGCGGATCGGCAGGAGGAGATCAGCCACATGCAGGAAATCCTTGAAACCAAAGTTCAGCTGCTACAAGAGGTACAGAGACAGAAACACACAACCACACACACATATACAAATACACCGTTACGAGCTCTTCTCCTCGTCTGATTTCAGGAGGCCGAGCTGGCGCGAGGCGAGGCCGAGCGGATGGCCGAGCTGGCGGACTCCGAGGCCCAGCGCTGCCTGGCCCTGGAGAGAGAGATGGTGGAGAGGATGGAGGAGAGCGGAGGCTCAGGTGGACTGCTCACCCAGCAGGCCCTGGCCCACAAAGACAGGTGAATTCACAGTAAAAACATTCATGTAGTCAGTCCCAGCTTTAAACTATTTTATACACAGTTAACACTTTAAATTCACAGTGAAAACAACATGAATTGTGTTAATGGTACAGTAAAGGTTTAAAAATGTGACTACAGATTGAACAAAAGGATGTTTGCAGTTTTATTGAACTATTTTCTGACTTTATAGACACAATTAAACATAAATTACACAGTTTATGGATTAATAAAAAAGCAACAAACAAAATAATCTTCATTTTCGTGCACACAGTTGCTTTCTGTGGTTCTGGGAGGTGTCAGCGGGTCACCGTAGATATCGGTGCTATTCCCGGCACTGTCGGCGCTCGTATCGACTGACCTTGTCAAAAACTGGAACAAAGAGCCAGAGCTGTGACCTACATACTGTAACCGACCCCGGCAGTGAACTCCACCGCAGCTTCAACCATTTTAACCTGCTGCTCGCTCTCTCTCTCTCTCTCTCTCTCTCTCAGGGTGATCGAGGAGTTGACGCAGCAGAAACATTCGCTGGGTCTCCGGGTCGAGGAGCTTGAGGTCAAAGTCCACAATCTTTCCTCCACTCTCAAGAAGAAAGGAGGAGAAGCTGAGGTAGACACAGAGTGAATGCTAATGACAGCTGAGCCTGTATTTATTAAAAGCTCTGAAGAATGAAGTCCAGTAGTTAGACGGCAGATTCAGGTTCTGGTTAAGACCTTAAATCTCTGAACGTGAGCCAGTCAGGTGACTCCTCATCGGGTTACCTTCATCCCTCCTCTTCTCCTCTTCTATCTTTGTGTTTTGGCTCAAACCCCACGCAGGCCGACTGACTGAGATATCAAACTGTTTTTATATCCACATGTGGGTCAGTGGAACTTTGGCAAAGCTGCAGCATGAAGATGAAAACATGTTCCTGTTGACTGGGACAGTCTCTGTATGGTTGTTCTAATGATTACTGTCAGTGTAACACCAGCACTCACTCAACCAGATCATTGATATTCACTTCTAATAAACACTTTACCTGATAAATAAGAATCCAGGAAAGGATTCAATCAAATAACACCAAATTCATCCTTCTTGTTGATTAAAGTTCATTTCTGGTTGTGCTTTCTTCGCCCACAGGGTGATGGCGAGCGCCGAGTCCACGCACATATGCAGGTAGGAACTGTAAATGTGTTCGTACACACTCACAACACAAACACAGATATAATGTTTTCTTGCTTTGCTGGTGGTGAATTGCTCCTCATGAAGTCATTCCTCCTCTCGAGTCATAGAGAGGTAGCTCCACCTAGTGGTGGCGAATCTACACTGCACGTACCGCTGAGCTCTTCACAGTCCATCTCACACTCTATTAAAAATAATAACAACTTTATTCATATAGAACCTTTTAAAACAGAGTTTAGAAAGTGACAGTGATCGTTGCACAAAATGGAATTAAATATAAAAATAAAGAATACCAACATACAATAAGAAGAAGAACAGAAGCCATAAAATAAATAGAAATATGTCTGTAGTCTAGTCTATAAAAATGGGTTTTAGGAAGCGATTTAAAAGTCACTGATTGTGCTGATTAGATCTCCTCGGGCAGCTGACGGGTCCTGATGGTGAAAGCAGGGTAATCTTTAGATCTAAGGCAGCGAACTGGCTCGTAAAGGGTCGACATTTCTGCTACGTAGCTCTGGGTCAGACTGAGCGCTGTGTGTCTGATGTGTTGGCGTCTGTTAGTTAGAAGCAGAGCTGCCGCGTTCAGTTGGAGAGGAGTGAATGACTTTTTCCAGGTCAGGGTGACTGAAGATTGATTTTATTCTAGAAGCAGTTAATTAAATAAAGGAAACAGCACTAAACAGGGCTACAGCGCCAAAAGCATACTGTAAAATAATTAGTTTTTAGCTTTTATTTTAGATAAAGTCTTTTTGGTTTGGTGTTTAAACACTACTATAATGCAAATAATCAGCTTTAAATTGACAGAAGAGTTCTGTTATTATTAGATTTTTAAAATATTATTCTGAATTTTAAAAGTTATAGAACTATAATAAAAGTCATTATCTGTGCAATTACAGTAATTATTGCTGTTTTCACTGATAAAAACTGTATTTTTCAACATTTTTGTTGTGAAAACTTCCATAATTATAGAAGATATCTGTTAATTAACAAACAAATCCATGTAAAATTACAAATACTTTTTTTTTTTACTGTTAATGTCACTAATTTTACATTATGTTAGTATTAAACTTGAATTTAACCGTTGAATCAGTACATATACTTGAAACAGTAAATATCTGCAAAGAAAATCATACATTTACAAATGTATTTTAATTTAATGTAAATTCACAGGATATCTTTGTAATTTTATTCATATTTCCATTTAAAAAATACAGAAAAAAACTGTAAAATCATTAAAAACAAGTGAGTTTACATTTCTATTATTACTTTTGAATGCAGTCATCAAAACCCAGCTGACACACAGTAAGTGTGGAGCTTTGGGGGCCCCTGAAGTTCTGAGGCGCTCCAGATGCCCACATTGCCTGGATGGTAATCCCGCCTGGGTCCTGTCTAAAGCGGGTGTCCTGCCCTCACCTCACCCCTACATGTGTTTCTCTCTCTAATATCAGGTCACACAGCGTCTCTCAGGGAATCAGGGTCACTGCGGAGTCAGCTCACACGTACAGTACAGCGCTGCTAATTTAGCCTCAGCTTCCTCACTGACGCCAGTTATAATTACAATCAGCTCGCTGTCTGCCGGCTGCTCCGCGCACACACTGACTCGCTTCATGAGGCGGCTGTAGAGCTCAGAGGGAGTCAGATGTTTACTCTACACAAAAACAAGTGAGACGTCTGAGGGGAGAAAACCAGCAGAGACACCTCGCCGTTAACTCACCGCTGTCACACTTTCTGCCACTCTGAGAAAAATAAACAGTGGCTGAAGTCTGTCAGCAGTGTTTGGCACTTATCTCTGATTAGGATTAATTGATTTTTGATTGCGTGCCTCATTCCAGACGATCAGTGTTTTGGTGTCGTGTCTCCAGAGGCTTGCAGGGTGACAAATGTAGACAGCGTCCGGGCCAAAAGAGTGCCACACACACACACACACACACAGGAAAACAAATCACAAGTGACAACAGTCGTATCAACAGCACATCCATCCTGCTGCGATAATGAAAGACGGATGAAGACTCAAGTGTCTGTGGGAAAAAGGGCCTAAAAGTGTCTCTAGAAAATGACATCAGCTTTCTAAGAGCTGCTGCTAAAGCGTCATGTGATTCATTGACACGAGCCTCCCTCCCTCCCCTCATTGTGTGACATGCATGTGAAGGCCGGACCAGGACTGGGTGCCCCTGGGAAAGGCATGAACTCATTCCACCCTCACAATTTAGAGAATTTAATGAACCTGATGGAAAACAGTTCACACCCTGCACACAGACACACACACTTAATGTTTTATATTCTCTTCTACAAGTTGTCACACAATGTTTTGATATTAAAGCTGCAGCAGGTCATTAAAAAACTTCTCTATATCCTGACAGTAGAACATTAGACAATAATCTGTGAAACATTCAGGTTCCTCTGGTTCCTCTTAGTGCTCCTAATGACATTTACAAGAATCCTGAAAAATCCTGAACGAAAACAACCAATCAGAGCTGAGAAAGATAGTTAATTGTTGAGCAAATACAGCGTCTTTGAGTCTTTCTCTGCTTCTTGCAAACACCAGACGGAGCGATAAAACGAGCCCGAGGAATCAACAATATTATTTTATTTATTGATGTGCAACTTTTGATTGGGTACTAAAACCATCACCACAAGCATAACAATAAATACATACCTTAAAAGAATTAAAATAAAGTAACCCTGGCCAACAAAACAATATGGGACAATAACGGCAGAGAACCTCAGAATAGAAATTAAAAATGACCAAAATAAGAAATATAACAAAAAATAACAAAGGTAAAACACAAAAGTAAATCTCAAGCTAATAGAATTTCTTTTGCATAATCTAATAATTAGAAAACTGATTTAAGTTTTGATACAAATTTTCAGACATGAGTTGTTTTGTGGATTTCATCTTATTAAAAGCACAAAATGTGATCCAAAGGTTATGTTTGTTATCATGATTAATAAAAAAAAAAAACTAAAAATGCTGTTAAATTAAATAGATGCTGTTTAAGATAAGATGTTCCTTTATTGATCCCTGTAAGGGAAATAGGAATTGGCAGCAGCAGCACAGACGAATGTAGAGCAGAGAGTAGAGAAACAGAGAATAAAATACAATCAAATATAAAATATATACACTATATACAATAAAGTAGAATATGAGCCTGCGTATATCTGTACATGTGCAATGTACAGCGACCCCCCTGTTTCCTGTAAAATGGTTCAGTCCAAACAGCCGCAGGAGGTCTCACTCCTGCACTGATGTGGAAGACAGAAAAGTTTCATGCAGTTTCACAAAATCCTCTCGGAGTGATTTAAATCTTTATTTTGTTAATATAACAAATATTGCTCAAACTTCAGCTTCCTTCCATCTCAGTATTTAGTTAATGTTCAGTCACACAGTTTACAGTCTGAGAAGCTTTTTTATATTTATTATTATTAGACATTCAGAATGGTTTCTTTTTTTGGTTGGCTCTTTATTAGTTGTTACCAGTGCAGGAAGGAGTGTTTAAATTTCACAAAATAGAAATAAGAGTGTGTAAAAATATGTACATTTTATTACAGTAGGCTATATAACAATATATAGAAAATATGTATGAGACAAAAGCTACAGAAGTCTCAGCAATACAAAGTACCTATTATTTCATTATTAGTGATGTATTAATATTTAAGAGTACTTTAATGTTAAAGTTGGTCAAAGTGGAGTTAATTTGAACTACTTCCTGTACTTTTGGTGGTTTAATCTGAACAATGGATCATATTTTATCAACTGATTATATGTATTTGAGTAAAATATTAATTTGTAAAGTAACTATAGCTCTTAAATAAATATAATAAAGTAAAAAGTTCAATATTTCTCTCTGAAATAGAGTATAAAGTATGGAAATACTCATATAGTACAGTCCTTCAGTACAGTACTATCCTAATGTGATTCAACTTAATAATCATTATTTCCCCAAATAAGTTACATATGTGGAACACTAACAGGACTATGAGGTAATAAAATAATAGATTTAAAAGCCCACTTTTGCAGACGGGACTATTTAACGCCGCGGAGTGAGACATCCTCTCAGATATCAGCGATCTTTGGTCTCTGTCACCGTCGCCCCGTTGTTTCGTCCTGAAAGCGGCTCGAGGAGGTCTGACAGTCCGCCTCTCCCTCCATCCTCCGCTGCCGGTGCGGATCGGACCCAGACCGGGAGGCCCGGGACTCCGGAACCGTGTCCGGTGAACCCACAACACATCCAGAACCGTCGACGAGCAGAGAGCCGTTATTTTTCCGTGTTCGTGTCGGACTGTGAGCCGCGGAGATGCTGTCTCACACACGCACACACACACACACACACACACACACGCGCTCCCATGATTTTATA